TGTATTTCGTGGGTATTTTTAATTCCCTGTTAATCATTTCACCGACACTGATGTCCAATAATTTTTATCATTCAATTTGTTAGCGCTTAATCTGTGCAGGAGCCAGCAGCAAAAGTCCAATTAAACACGTTTGTAACATCATCTTATCTTTTCTTCGCGAACAGAAATAATTGAAAATTATTTCTCATTTTTTTGTATTTTGCGTGTATTAACTGTGCGATTTGGAACAGTGATTACATTTGAAAATGATATGATTTTCCAAACATTATATTTATCTGACATTTTTAAAAGGAAATTTCATGCCTCATATCGTATTGAATTTTTTTTTTTTGCATTACAAAAAAGCATACAATAATAGAAAATGAAACTGCTTGGTATAAGAAGAGGCTTAATATTAGTTATTAGTACATGTTCCGTTTGATATAGAAAGTTCTACTGTATATCTTTCATATTATAATAAAGTAAATAAGTTATTATAATTTATTATAAATAATTTTAATAAATTTAATAATAATAATATTGTAAATAATTTATTGTAATAAAGTAAATAAACTCACCATAATCACCTGAAGACCAACTAGACACTTTAGCAAACTAAATACCAGCACGTGCCCAAGTATAATACCTGTGAATGTATGATTCAATTTTCGACGATAGTTAAGAAATTGTACGCTCACTTTCTTCTTTGCTTCTTATTTTCATTTCAGTCGAAATAACGCGGAAGTGATCACCATAATTGTCCAAAGGGTGTGAGAGAACAATCGATACATGTGCACTATGCATTATTAAAAAGGTGACGCCGGCTGAGGAAGAACGAGGGTGAAACGGAATACGTTCCCAGCCTGGCGCACGTGTCAACTATCTATTCAGGGTGAGCGCCCTTCGCTATCAGTACGAATCCACAGTGCTGCAACCGGTGACAAGAGTATAATTTTATGGCAACGAGGTAAGAGTTCAGAAATAACTATCTGCTATATAATAAGTATACACAGAACTCTTCATATTTTATCGTATAAATTTTACAGAATAATGAAAGAATAAATTCGTTAGTTTATTCAATAGAATTGAATATTTCTAGTAGCCATTCGTACGTTCAATGGAAAAAGCATGATTGTTAGTTTAACTATTTCTTATCGATGTGGATAAAAAAAAAAAAAACAATGCGTTGATATATCTAAATTATTGCTCAAAATTGTGTCAATCTCAGTCTGAAAGTATGAAAACTGACGTAATAACAATGAGTAAATAAAGGATAACAATTTGATTTAAAATCATAATATCGAGTTTTGTGAAGAATAATAATTACAAGATGGACGACATCATGTTTCAGAAACATTTATTCGCAACATATCCTTATAAAATAACAAACCCAATATTACTGTTTACAGATCAGTCTTGCATTTCTCAATTGTATGTGCAAATCTCTCTTATCGAGACAGAAACATGGAAACAGATGCACCGTCACTTTTTATTTAAGTTCGTAGCAACATTGTAGCTTGGTAATTTCTAATCGAACGAGTCCTGTCATTTGTATTTCCATTATTAACAACGAACGTACAAATTATGAATTCGTTGCATTTAAAGATGTATTTCTTAGCAGAGTGAAATAAGACATTGACATACTGAGTACCTGCAACAGTACAATAATCACAATCCTACTTTTTCGCTATTAGTAACAACTGAAATTGCTCGTCACAGCAAACAGTAAAAAAAAGCGTTATCATCAATCGTAAGAAATTAGCAATCGAACCATTCCTCAACTAATAATATTAAAAATAAACGTTCACGAAGAATCAAATCGAATCTCATTTCGAAATTGATCACATAGAATATTGCTAGTATTTAATAAAATTTAGTAAAAGTTATTATTATATTATTATTATTCACAATATAAATTTTATATAAACTTAATAAAATAAAAAGACATTACTTGTATTATTAAGTGTACAATATTACAAGAACATTATAAATATTATATTTACAATAATATAAATGTAGTACAAAAAATTATTATAAATATAATATTACAAAATTTTCGAAAATGTGTTAATTAATGCAGTTTTAAAAAATTATGATGTTTTATTATAGACCTCAACGTTAGGATATTGAGAGCCACGATAATTTTATGTTATATAATTTCGAAAGATTTAATTTGATTTAATTTCATTACTAATCACTATCAGGCAAATATATAAAATACAAAATAAAATTTAATTTGCAAACTCTTTGTGATATGATATAAATTAGTGTAGCCATGTCTGATTGTAGGATTATAATTTTACGGCTGAGTGCAAACATTTCTTGTTGCAAAAATCATTATAAAACTAGATTTCAGAGATAAAAAGTTAAAACACATCCAAAACGACATAGACTGTAAATGTGTGTAAATTGTACAACTTGAGGCATAAAAAATCACCAATAGGGAAAGCCTGACGTGAAAATTCACGATAATGAAAGGGTGAATGGTAAAAAAGGAAAATTGTTACGAAGGCATAGACATGGATTAGACTAATTACCCCAGTAAATGTTTGAAGAGAAACGGGAAAAAATTTCCCGGCTGTTAAGCAACAAAACTTATGCGATCTCATGATGATAATTATCAGATTTTTTCGTACAATGGTACCAGCTTCGTTCATCGGAAAGATTGCCCATGGTATTGAGAATATTGCATTGCTGACGTTGCCACTTTGTTGCATCACGTCGTCGCAACTATACGTGCACATGAACAGTTGACAGAAAACACCACTCAAATTCAGTACCAAACTGACTTTTTTTGAAGCATGGGTATCCGCCTATGCAGACGCGATGTAATTAATATGAAACAAATGAAACAGTATAATATACCGTAGCAGTATAATAATAAATTATATAATGATATTAAATTGATGTAGTATACACGGC